CTTTCTTCTTCCACTGTGGAGATAGACAGAGAGCACCAGACTTTATTCTCTGGGACACTGATCACATGGTGAGCCCTCTGGTCCTCAGCTCTCCAAGGACCCACTCCAAATATCATGGTGTTGATGCCTAATGTTGAAACATTAAAACATAAAACCCAACATAAAAACCCAAACATTTAGAAAGGACACAGACATCCAGTACAGAACACTTGCACTTGAGATTTAGGAGAAGCAGACCGCACACGTTTTGGAGTTTTTTGGAAGCCACCTAGGATGAAAGCAATCACTGCTTTGATAACTGTTTTGTCGTGACTGATTTGATTCGAATCTGTTATGTTTGATAGTATCAAGTCTTAGAGTATAGGCAACTGCTCTGAAGACAGTAAGATTCACTAGGGTACCCATTCTGGTTTGACTGTTATCTGCTTTTGAAGTTCTATAATGTCTCTAATGTTTCACTTTTATTGATATTATTATGTACAGCTATGTTCAATTTTTTTTGTGTGCTGTACTTCTGCTTGATAGAGTCTCTTGTTTTATTGCTTGCTCTGGCTTTGGTTTGCCATTATGGAACTCCAAACTCTAAGCCATCTTGGTCTACTAGCATTTCAAAGAAACATTGTTACTGAATTTTTCCCCAACTGGTTAGTTATAAGATATTCACCAAACTTTGGAGGGTAGGGAGTTGAAGAGCAAAGTTTCAGCTGATTCAGTTTCCACCTCCTAATGAGGTTTCTCTTCCTGGCTTACAAAGCACTGAGTAGAGCAAGAGAAGAAGGACCCAGCTTGTAAGAGGAAAGAGAAGAGGGAGTGAGACAGAATTAATGATCTCTGTCTTGTCCTCATATTGCAGAGAGAGACACACAAGCACTCAGGGCTTCCTTCAATTTCTTATGAGGACACTAATCCCAGTATGCCCCACCCTCATGATCTTCCAGGAGCTCCATCTCCAAATACTACTGCATCAGGGTGAAGTCTCCAACAGAAGAATTTGTAGAGAATGCAAACCTGCTGTTCATCACAACAGCTGCTGATGCTGGTGAGGTGTGGCTGCTGCTGTCCTAGTTACTGGTTTGTGAAAATTTTTGTTTTGTTTTGCTCTCAGTCACCCCTGGTTTTAAAAAAAGTGTTTTTAAGTTTCTTTCAGTTTTCAGAAAGACTTGTTTTGACTTGGTTTGAAACCAGGGACTTCACACTTGTGAGGCATATATGATAACCGCTATCCTGCAAAGAATGATTACCAGCTGTTTCCAAGTCTCCTCCATGAAAATCTTGCTGCTGCTCAGAACATTCTAATATAAGAAGACAAACTGCATCCTGAAATTTGGCACAGAAAACAGAATAAGCAACAACAAGATTCCCAGGAAACACCAGTGATCTCTCACTGGTATGGATAATTTAGGTTCTGTGCTCACTGGAAAAACCAAGAGCCAGAGCCCCACTCTCTGAGAGCTGGACAAATATTTGAAAGAATATGTGACTTTAAAGGGTTAGCAGTGCTTGCCATCAATATTTTATTGGGGGGATCTCAACTCAGAATTAATACTCTGATTTAGATATATTGGGAGTATGTGATCTTTAAAAAGTACTTATTGATAGGCATGGGTCTAGTTTTAGTTTTCAGCATATGGAGAGCCAGTTTTTCCAGCACCATTTATTAAAGAGAGTGTCGGTCTTCCACTGAATGTTTGGCCCTTTATCAAAGATAAGGTGGTCGAGTGTGTTTGTAGTTGTGGTTGTATCTTCTAATCCACTCCACTGATCATCGGCTCTGTTTTGGTTCCAGTACCATGTTGATTTTACTACAGTTGCTTTGTAGTATAACTTCAAGTCAGGAATTGTGATGCCTCCTGCCTTGCCTTTGCTGCTTAGAACTGTCCTTGCTATTCTGTGTCTCTTCTCGCTCCAGATGAATTTTAGGAGTGATTTCTTGAGATCTATGAGGTATGTTGATGGTATTTTTATCAGGATTTCATTGAATCTGTAAAACAGTTTGGGGAGAATGGCCATTTTCATAATATTTATTCTTGTTATCCATGAGCAAGGGATGTCTTTCCTTTTTCTGAGATCATCTTCAGTTTGCTTTTTCAGTGTATTATAATTTTATATAACTGGAAGTCCCATTTGTTCCAGCTATTCCACTTCTAGGCGTATTCCCAGAAAAACTGAAAACATCATACCACAGTTATATATGTGCACCCGTGTTTATAGCAGCACAATTTGTAATAGCCAGAACTTGGAAACAACCTAAGTGTCCATCAACTGAGGAATGGATAAAAAAGTTGGGGTATTTTTATACAATGGAGTACTACTCAGCTATAAAGAATGATCATATTGAGACATTTATAAATAAATGGACACAGCTTGAGACCATACTCATAAGTGAAATAAATCAAACTCATATGTATAAATACCAAATAGTTTCATTAGTGTAAGAAATGATAATACATAAAGTATGTGATAATCATGATTCCCAGTCATGTTGACATGAAGCCATATAATGTTTTCACTCATTAATTGGAATGGTTTTAATCTGGGTTGTTCGATTTTATTGTCTGTGATAGTACAAATAGCTATTTTGAAAAAAACAAGAATCATAATAGCAAGTGCTGACTTAATATCATCTTGTTTTGAAGTCCCATTAAGCTGTTCTTCTGTTTCCCTTGATTTTAACATGTTGTGTCTTATTATATTTTACTGTATGTATAAACATACAGTATAAACATACAGTATAAATATGTATTATTATATTATACTATATGTATACAGTATAAGCAAAATTTTTATAAGGCAAAGAGATATTATAGAAACCGTTGTTCGTTTTCTGTTAGCTCGTTCTAAATACCCTGTAATTCTTTCATTCTCTTGAATGGCTTCATATTGTCTTGATATGTTTGATGCTATAGTATACAAAGTTATACTCAAATAATTCAAGGAAAGCGACACTATGGTGACTACTATTATGTCAGGTTATCTGGTGGTGAAACAAAATGATGCTTAAATTGTTTGGTTCTGACCTGTGTTGTTCTGTTACTATGTCCTCTTATATCTCAATCTCCCCCTTTTTTAATTAGTTTATTTTTTATTTTCTTTTTAATTAAGGGAAAACTGAATTAAAAAATAGCAGGATATATTACAGTAACTTTTTGTTTTCTTATCAACCTGATTCGAACCCCAGTATTGCTCTCCCCAACTTGTTCTAACTGATTTTACTATACTCTGTTTTGTTTGATAGTATCAAGTTTGAGGGTATAGGCAACCACTTTGAAGGCAATAAGATTTACTATGATGCCCAGTATGGTTTGACTATTATCTTCTTCTGAAGTCCTGTAAGGCCTCCAATGTAGGTTTTATTGGTCTTGTTCTGTACTGTTTTGTTCAATTCTATTTGTCTGATGATATAGGAAACTCTTTTTAAGATAGCAAGAGGCATAATGGTAACCATTTTTGATCACCTGGTATTCTGTTTTTGCATCATGTATTATGTCCATCCTTCTGTTCTAACTGACTCTGTTTTGCTTTGTCACATTTTTTTCTCTTCAAAAAAAAAAAGTTATAAAAACTGTGGGAGTAATAAAACCCAAAATGTGTAATTGTTATTGTAAAAAAGAGAGGAAAAGAAAGTGATCTAAAAGATATAACTGCATGTATATTTAAGTGTGTAGGATAGAAAACCATATTACTGAGATTTTGTTGGATCTTTGAACAGAACTGTCTGCAATCTCACATGTATGAATGCCCACTTTGTATGCTTTAATTTTGTAATATGGACAACTGTTTCTAAGATGACAATATGTAATCTATTAACTAGTGATTTCTCATTGTATATATATTTTTTGAAATTCTGTATTACTTGTACCCTTTTACTGCTTTTTTTTTCTCTTTAAATAAAAAAAAAATACTTATCGAAGCTGTGCCTAATGGTGCACTCCTGAAATCCCAGCACTGGGGAGGCTGAGGTAGGAGGATCATTGCAAATTTGAGACATGCCTGGCCTACAAAGTGAGCTCAAAACCAGACTGAACCCCATAGGCCAATCCTGTCACAAAAAGACAAAATGAAACAAAACAAAACAACTTATGCTTGAAATATTGACATAATGTATTGGCGTTTTGGTGAAATTCAATTAGAAAAAAAAAGTTCCTTTCTCAGTTTTCCCTGGGGAATTAAACTGAATAACCCAGAGAGCACGTTTTGATCCAAAAATCATGAGTCTTTAAAAGTTAGGAATTCTGATCTATGATTATGCTTCTCTTGTTGAGGAGCTAAGCTTGGGCCAGGCTGAGTCACATACTGGAGCTCTAAGAGGAAAATCAGCCTCACACTGACTTTCCACCTCTTTGGCTCTCACTGCTCTATGCCTGGCCCTGGACACTCAGCAGCTCCATTTGCATGCAGCATCAGGATCTGCAGATTCCCGCATCTCTTTCTAAACCGCAACCTGTTCTTCCTCTCCTGGACTCCTAATTCACAGGCCAGTGCGCCTGCCCACCTCAGGAACACTAAAGCTCAGCAGGTCCGTGGGAACCTGTCATCATCTCCCAGCACCCTCTACCTCCACACCCAGGTCAGCATCTCCAGGAGCAGGACACTGATCTCAGTAGTTCTGCCACTCACTCTGATCCGTGTGTGTGTGTGTGTGTGCGCGTGTGTGTGTGCACGTGTGTGTGTGTTTGTGTCTTGTTGCTGATGTGCTAAGGACAGAATTGGGAAGTTGTTTGTCCCTGAACCATGCCCACACAAGGGCTGAAGAAAGCTCTCACTTTCCAGAGGAGAAAAAAAGCAAAACCTTGTTTTGACCTAGAAAGGTGGGGCCCTTTGACCTGTTTGTTAGGGGAACCTGATGACCTCTACCCTAGGGAAGCCTCCAGGTTACCTTGGGTAACAGCATTGAAGACACCATTCACTTTCTGGTTGAGGCAAGAGAGGGCCAGTGGATAGGGTGGGACGGGAACCAAAACCTCGACTCTCTTGTTTCCGCCCGGTTTCTAAGAGGGCACCTTTCGCGAGTTCCGGAACCTAATGACCGCTACACTGCAGGAACCACCCTGAGGCACCGAGGCGTCTTCCGCAAGGTTCGCTGTGCCCTTGCTGTACCCTATCTGCCGTCGGTGTCCAACACAGGAGACTGCGTTCTAAAATTTTATGGGGTGGGGAGTCTCGGGAAGCTGAGAGGCAGGAGTCGAGGAGACTGCGGCTCACGATGTGCTGCGGCCGCGGCCGAGCAGGGCGAATGCCCCGGGCCCAGGCTCCGGCTTCGGGACCTGGCCCCTCCTGCTGGGTTTCGGGTCCGGAGCGCAGCGCCCCGCTGTACGGGGCTCCGGGCTGACGCCGTGGCTGCCAGAGGCCGTGCAGGAGCACGGGTTTTGGCCGCTGAGACCCTGGCTCCCCTGCCTGTCAGGTTTGGGCCCCGGGCCACTCTTCCTCCATGGCCCCGCCCCCCGCGCCTCTGCCTCGCCCTCCTCAGGCCAGGTCACTGGAGTTTTTCTGCTCTAAAATACCTAGAACCAGCCCCAGCAGGGCCTTCCTTGGGCGATCCTTGCTGCCTTCCTTTGCAGACCAGGCCAGGAGGCTAAAGATCCAGGAACAACTGACTCGGATTTCCCAATGATCCAGTCTACTCCTGGGATTTTGACAGTCCTTCTCAAAGACAGCTTTTGTTTTATCCTTTACAATGCACGACTCATCTTTTATTTGCTTTTTAAACTTTATTCAATGGGTCCTGACTTTGACACCTCTCCCCACCTCCATTCCAGGATGAACCCAAGGCCTTTGCACTAAAGTGTATTCTCGGGCCTTTTTAGTTTTTGAGACTGAAAAACTCGCTAAATTTCTCAGAGCGGGTATTAGCCAGTTTCCTGCCTCAGCCTCCCAGAGTCCAGGGTTGTTAGAGGTGTGTACCACTGCTGAGAGTTTAGGAGTCAGAAGTTAGCCTAGGCTAGATACAGTGGTAAAGGTGGTTTTCATCAAAAGCTTGTGTCAGGGTCAGTTGTCAGGGTCATCTCACAACAGGAAGAAAGCCATCCATCTCCTCCTGGATCCCTTTGCAGTAAATGTTAAGACTTCGAAGAATGTTCTGTTTTTTGCCAACCCAGTGTCCTTTGCCCACGAAGTTCACATTCTCCCCAACCTGAGGGCTCACAATTGGTAGTTTATTTTACAATTGGGTGACCTGACTGACACATGAGGTACTTTATTTGGGATGTGAAAGTCCTGGGCTTTGCTTCCAGGGAAAGACAATGGCCCCTAAGAAAGGGTCTGTGAGCTGCTTAGGACTCATTTGGCTGAGGCATTGTTTTAGTTCTTTCTGAAGACATTGCTCTTGGTATACAATGCAGTCCAATCATGTACTTCACAATCGTTTTTGAATGAAACCCTGAGTTTTCTACTAGTTTAGCTGGTAGCTAATGTTTCCAGTCACCCCACTGGGCCCAGACAAAAGAGCACCAGCAAGGGATTCACCTTCATGAGCCTCTTTAGGGCATCCTACCACCTACCACCTGTGAAAGTGTGAGAGTTTTAAAAAGCTTGAAGAGGCAGGAAGCTCAGAAGTCACAAGACCAGAGGTTACACAGGGGAGGTCAGAGAGGGCAAGGAGTGGAGTCTGGGGTTGGGGCTTCAGGGAATTTGCCTTTATGAGATCCAGGGAATTATACAAACAGATTTCTCCTGATAGGACTTTAATTGGTGGGTTTTAAGCAAGAAGGCACAAGTTTTAAGAGGTCTTTCTATGACTGAGGTGTAGTTGCTTTAAGTTCCTGGGAAATGTCTGGTTCTTATAAAATAAGGATTGGGAAAGGAGTGAAGCCTGAAGGTGAGAGAACTGTCTCTAAATTTTTATCTCTGGCTACCACTACAGTGGTAGCCACTAGAGCATGGTTTGTTGGAGTTTTCTGGTGCAATACAGAAGCAGAAGAAAGAAGAAAGAGGCTATTTATTTGACGACATGGAGAGAGGAGAAGAGCCCACAGGGGTTTGGCTTTCTCCTGGCAGGATACAGAGGATCAGAGGGTTAGATGACCTCTGGTCAGAAGTGGCACATGATTGATGATGTGTGAGGAACTGAGTGGCATTTTCTCAGCGTACAAAGGGAAAACCATTTTGGGCTGCGGGGGAAGAAGGAAGGAGTGGCCGTCAGGGCAAGTGTTTCCACTTCGGACTTATGCCATGTTAGACTATTGCCATAACTGTACAATAATTTATACCAGTGCAAGAACCTTTGAGGTATAGTACCAGAAACTATTGAGAGTGACTGCCCTGGTTTTGTCATGATAAAGCTAAATTACATCTTAAGATGGGTGTTAAGGGAACATAAAATTCTAAGCACTCAGGCTGGGAATTACTTCAGGGGCTCAAGCACTTTGTTGTCTGATAAGTGCAAGGTTGTGAGTTCAATCTCCGGTTCTAACCAATAAAAACATAGATAAATAATAAATAAATAAAATTCTAATCATTCTACATGTGTCCTAAATTTGTGCATATTGCCAATCAGTGTGAGTGTTTTGTGAAAGGTCGTTGGCTCTCATGTGAAAAATGTCTGTTCAGAAACTGAGTATGTCATGGGACAGAATTATAGAATCTTCCTAAACCCATCATATTAGACAAAGTAATTTCAGATTCACTGATTCCTTTCAACATTAAAGTACCTGCCGATGTTTCAGTTTTTAAAAATTTTAATGAAAAACTTAGTTTATCCAGACACGATGGGACATGCCTATAGTCTCAGGGCGGGTATGCCTGAGGCACAAGGACTGCCCTGCTTTTAAGATCAGCCTGGTTACCTAGTGAGTTTGAGGGCAGCCCGGACTATCTAAGGAAACCTCATCTCAAAAGAAAAGAACAAGAAAGAAAGAAAGAAAGAGAGAAAGAAAACATGTTTATAAATTAGGCAGAGGAACAGACTAGCAAAAATAACTAATAAGAGAATAATTAGAGCAAATACTACAACAAAAAGTATTTCAAATGTATAAATTGCTTATATTTGCTATTTTTCAGGTTCAAGTTGCTTATGGGTGACTAAAACAGAAAAAAGTGAAACTGTGGATAAGGGGACTTCCATAAAGTAAGGCAAAGGTCATCACTTAGCCATCCATGAGACCTCAGTGGTTCATCCAGGGTAGCATTGAAGACGTGATATTGCTCATCCCCCAAGCACTGTCAGATCTATGAGAGTGTTGGTAACTGCCTTCCCTACTTTCACTCAGTGTGGAAACCATATGGGTACAGAATCTGAACGTGCCCGTACATTTATTTCATAAGAATGAAATATCTTCCTCTCTTTCTGGTTTAATGATGTTTAGTTCTCATCCTATGATCATGGAAGAGTGCCAAGAGACTATCAGCTAATAGATGATCTACAATATATCTTGTATATTTATGATCTTAGTAAGTGTGTTACTAATGAAAAGAGTGCAAGGATATACACCCATAACTGTGAGACAAGTGAAAGTACAGAGAAGAGAAATACCAAGACAGTTATTTGGGAACCAAGAAGACAGTTATTTGTGAAGCAACCAGAGTTCAAAGGGCAGAGCAGATAGAGATTGGAGGAGCTGGCAAGATGGCAGCTGTGTGATTCTGGATGCACCAAGAGGGCAATGTTGAGAAAGATTAAATATACAAAGACTTCACTAGGTAAACTACATGTATGAAAGGAAAGAGAAAGAAGGGAGATCCTTCAGGCCATGGAACAAATTTGACTGTGAATGAGAAAGAAAGGGAGAGAAGGTTGAGTGGAAACATCTAAAACTTCTGGCCATGGAGGAACCAGTATGGAATCACTGTGACAAATTCAGCCAACAGTCTCAAGTGTCCCTGGAACAAGTCTACCTCAGTCTCTCCATTACACTTAGGTATTGGCAGTAAGCAGCTCTTGGGCGTCAGAGGTGATTTTAATGCATAGAGCCTGGGGTGCCATCAGTTAAGTTCCATATAGTAGTAGAAAGATCTATAAGGTAAATTGACAAAGCTCTCACATTGGCTTAACCAAGAATATAGATAGAAGAGCTCACCAGAACGCAAGCTATTGGCAAGTACAGGGATCAGAAAAAAGCAAATGTAGAAATCAGCTCTGAGGATCAGTGGAAAATAAGTGGATTCCATTGCCACAGATGTTATTTTTATCCTGTGAACTGGAAGAAGAGGTCAGTTTCATGCCGATCTCCTGAGGGAAGACATCTTGTGAAGAGCATCTCATTTTTTAAAAAAACCTATTCTTTATCTGATAAATATGGCAGGCTTCCTGCTTAAGCTTGCATGATAGATGAGCATACTGGCAGTGGCTGAGACAGAAGGGATGGCTCAGATTGTGGAAGCCCAAGTGACTAAAACACTAGAGGAAACAGAAGGCATCATTAAACACTACAACCTCCTCTGAAAATAGAAGGTATATATATATATAAAGAAATTTGGTTCCTGAGAACCATGTCTACCCTATTTTTAAAGCCAAGGGAGATTGGATTGAAAAGGAATACTGAGAAGTGAAGCAAAGGCCTCACTGTGCCTTCCTTAAAACACTGGTCGATTCCAAAAGAATTGGAAAATGCAAAAAATCTGTTGTACGTCAGCTGAAATAATCATGTGTGTTCTTAAAACACAAGATATAGACACTGTCTCAGTTACTGTGGTAGACTGACAACTGCTGGTCAATCTGAAACACCCCACTGAACTGAATCGTTGTGGTGTTGGGTGTGGATGGCCCCCTCAGGATTGCTGCCATCAACATAAATAGGAGAACTGGAGAGGAGGAAGTGTGATGTTGCTGGTTCTCCTGTTGTGGTTGGTTTTTCTGGAGGAGGTTGTTGAACTTTTTTCCTGTTATGAACTTGGTTCTTCTCATTGCCAGAGAGGCTCAGAACCTTGTTATCACTGAGAATGGCTTCAGTTCACTTTGGGGGAGCTCTTCTTACTCTGAGCATCACCTCCTGGCTCCAGTGCAGAACACTTAGCCTACTGGCACAGATCCTTCAACCCATAGGCACAGACTTTGTAGTTTCCACTGCTGACTTTTGGGCCTTGTCAGCACATACCTGGTAAACCAATTTGCATGTGACACTGTCGTGGGCTCTAGGACTCCAGATGGACTTGTGAGAGCCATTGTCATTGGCTCCAGGTTTCCATCTGGACTCATGCAGGATACTGTCATGGGATCCAGGGCCTCAGCTGGATATTTTGGATCTTCAGTGTGTGGACAGATTTCCTGAACATTTTGTGTTTGATTTCTTGGGTGACTACTATAAAATAATCAAGATCCCAGAAATTCAACATAAGATCAGAATATTAAAAGCTGTTAGAAAAAAGAAGCATGTATAAAGGAAAACCTATCAGCATCACCACAGACTTCTCAACACAAACCATTTAATTAAGAAGAGCTGGGAATAAAGTATTTCAAGTCCTGAAAGGAAACAACTTCCAACCCAGATTCATGTATCATGCAAAACTATCTTTCAAAATTAATGGAGAAACAAGATACTTACATGACAAAAAACAACTGAAGGAATTCATGACCACCAAACCAACCATGTAAAAAATACTGAAGAACATTCTAGAGAGAGATAAAAATAGACCATGGTTCCAGGAACAGAGAAGACAGTAGAATGGATGGGGAAAATTAGGCAGTGAATAGCACAAAAATAGCATGGCAGAGATGAGCCAGTGCCTGTTGACCATAACTATTAATACATATGACCTTAATTCTCCAATAAAAAGAAACACAGGCAGCGTGGATCAGGAGACAAGATCCAGCAATATGCTTTACACAAGAAATGCATTTGACTTGAAAGGGGGTTCATAGACTGAAAGTCAAAGGGGAGAGAACAATACTCTGTGAGACAGAGACCCCGAAAGAAATGTAAGTAGCTTGCCCATCGGCTGCAGACTGCATAAGAAAGCCATGGCACTTTTATACAGTGGAAAGCTACTAAGCCATAAAGACAGATAACCCTGAGGCTCTTTGTAGGTAAATGGATACTACTTGAGATCATACTCATAAATGCAATGGTTCAGAGTCACATGGGTGAATATTGTGTTGTCTCCCTAGTATGAAGAACTAGAGGAGTTGGTGGGATCCAAAATGCACAGTACATACTGTAAAAGTGAACAGGGAAGAAGTACCTAAAGAAAGAACTCAGTAGTCATTCTAAATCTATTATGGTGATTTGAAACCCATATTTTTCTCATTGTTCTATTTAGTTTGGTATTTTTCTGTTTTGGTTTGTCTAATCTTATTGTATTTAATGGTATGGACAGCTATTTCAAAGATAACAAAATATATTATGGTAGCTATTATTGATTTCCTATTAGCATGTTTGGAAGCCCTGTATAGCTTTCATTGTTTTGTTTTGACTGCTTTTATTATATTTTGTTTTGTTTGATTGTATCATGTCTGATGGTATAGGCAACTACTTTGAAGATAACAAGTTGCAGTATGGTACCCACTATGGGTTCCCTATTATTTTGTTTTGAAGTCCGGTACTGCTTCCATTGTTTTGTTTTTATTGGTTTTCTTCTGTACTCTTTTGTTGTATTTTATTATGCCTGATGTTATGGGCAATTCTTTTGATGATACCAAGAGGCATTACAATAGCCTTTATTGATTTTCTTGTATTTTGTTTTAAAATCATGTACCATGTTCATTGCTTTGTTTTGATTGGCTCCATTCTGCTTTATTTCATTTGGTTTTACTCTCTTCAATTGAAAATAATGTGAAAAAAATCAGGACCTGAACCTTAAGAGCATCTTTCTGCTCCTTTTATGCTTTAATGGACTGACCCAGCAATCCCCCACCCTTAATCCCAGCATCTTTTTTCCTAGTATTGTACCTCCTATCAATCATACACTCTCAACTCAGCCACCTCCAAAATACTCTATGACCCCATGAGGTGTTTGGGATGGCAGGGTATCCAGACACAAACCATAGCAGATGCTAACTACATTATGTATGCATGCCATTATTGGATCAATGATTTTTATATTGTTTGACATCCTGTAAACTTAATACTCCCAATAACCATATGAAGTAAATTTTATTATAGGTTGAGAAATTTCACCTGGTTAAATACTTGAGACTCTAAACTGCTTGTATAAAGCAAAAACAAAATACATTATAGATAATAAATAAAAAAAGAAAAAATACCCCAAAATTAAGGCAGTAAAAAATAGGAAACCATAACCTACTTTAGACTGATGTAAAAATATAGGCAAGTATTATAGTAAGAGTTCTACATGCTACTTGATTTGAATCATTGAAGTCAGATATTTTTAAGATGCCAGTATTTCCTGTTGTTTTAGGAAAACAATACAAAGCACAGTGTTAATATTACAGAAACTCCTGGATAAGTATTAGGCCTGTTTCCAGGTATCCAATGTATTGGGATTGGTAAACATAGTCCCTGCTGCTTTGCCCTAGCCACTTGTGGCTCATGAAAGGGGACAGCACATCACTTGAAGTGGTTATCTGGAAGGACAGACATTCTCGTTGGACTACAAGTTTTCCTGTTGCCTCCTCTTCTAGTTCTATGAAAGCTCCTGAGGGTAGAATCACCTTTTTTGCCTTACTTTCAAACTGAGCTCTTTATGCTGGGGTAGAGTGGATTGCAAGGCCTTCCTAGGAAATCTGTCTCCTCGGAGAGCTGTAATGAGGCAGGTTGTGCAGGGAGATAATGGGACAACTTCTCAACACTGCAGTGCAGACATAAGTCTAGTCACACCTATACTGACACTGAGATCTAAGGCAAAGGTAGAGGACATGACCACTTCTGGTATCTGTGGTTGAGCTAACCCATGATAGCCATGTCGTGACCCCAGGGAATACCTGCACTTCTCTGAACGAAGTGAAAAAGAGTGATATCTGAATCCCAGGCAATAGATCTTAGTGCCCAGGCCTAGGGTGATATGCCAGGGATATCCATAAAATGTTGGAGAGTGGTGCAGGAGCTGGGGACATTTAGGAAAACCTCCTAAAAATGTAGTTTCAATAAAGAAGACATAAAAGCTAGGCAATGAAACTGTTTCAAAAACTAAGACATGTGTATGATTTAAAGACTCATAGAAATCCTACAGTTGTGTTGTTCCTCTACTAGGATAATGTCAAATGGGAAAGAGAAATCCTTCTTTATTTTTCAAGAAAGACAGAGGTGGTAGAAACTAATTCTGTTTTCTGGGACCATCACTCCAGATGCCACACCTCAGTGCCAGTGATGCATGGACTGCAAGTAAGGGAAAAGCGTCTTGCCCTTCTGCCATGTCTCAAGGCAGGGATGGGTTGAACGATGTGCCCCTGGATAGCTGTGTTCAATACTAAACATAAAACTGCCATTGAACCTTTGGAATAGCTCTAGAACAGGTGAAAAGATTAGAAGGGTAATAGATGTGAAGTCTTGCCCCAATTTGGGACAGGGACAGAAAGTGTCAAGAAAGCGGGAAAGTTCTGGCTCTCAAAGATAGGAACTGAGGTGTGAGAGGTGTCAGGCCCCTCCCTATTTCACACCCGACTGTTCATAGTGTAGAGGGCAGTAAATAGGGCCTGCATTTCCAAGGCGTGTACAATTGAAGCAAATACTACTCCAAGCTGGATGATCTTTGATGAGCACCTCAACCGCAGTGTTCTTAGTTGAAAAATTATAGCACTACCACCTTAATAGGAGTCCACTATGGCAGTGATACAGGATAAAAACATGATGGCCAAAAAAGCATAATATGCGCTTTATAAATTCCTGTTTTCTCTTGGGCGCCATAACTGTAGGGGAAGTATTTTGTTGCTTTGCTCCTCTGGGTGGAATGAGAAGTAAGAATAGTACCAGGTCAAACCATTACATCTGCCTAAAGGGTCACTTCAGGGAAAAGATCAGAGGTTGTCAGGACCTAAAGATGTTTCTTTGTATGTCCACATGAAGTTTGATTTGTACAGTTGCCTGACAATTGAATACTATTCCCATGAAGGAAATTAATGAGAAAGCTGAGCAGGAGAAAATGAAGGTTTTGTTTAAAACTTTTCCTCCTATTGTCCAGAGTGTCAAGCTTATGACCTCCGGATAAACAAAAATTACCTGAGACCCTCGGAACCTGTGCCTGCCAGGCACCAAAAATAATTATGAATAATTATGAAAGCTGAAAGGAGCCAAACACTGTATCCACTTCTAAAACATAAACAGAGAAACTTCCCATTTGTCCTAGAAATACTTAATTTATTTTATTTTTCTAATTTATATAAATGACCAGTGATGTCCACAAATCCATTTGAGAAGTATATCTTTTGAATTTTGAGGGACCTATTTTTGTCTATAAATCAAGGAAATATAAATGATAACTATTTCTCAGAAAACAATTCATATTATACAATAAAATAATTCCTTCAAATTACTGAGTATTGTGAGGGAACTAATTATATAAAGTAACATCATTTAAAGTGGAAAAGAGGCAATGGTATCTATTGAAACTGTTTATTACCAAAGGAAAACAAAGGAAATAATTAGCAGGCTTAGGTATTTAGAGGAGACTCCTTGCCTAAAACCTGAGTAACTGTGAAATTTTTAGTTTCTCGGGACCTTTTCAGGACATACTGCTTGTGTTGTCATTGAATTTTATGCTATTTAAAAAATTCATTTTATTAAGAAATCATCTCTAGTTGATATATTACATATTATTATCTTGTAATATATCAACTATCACTCTTAATGGGTTTTTTTGGAAATACTGTATATTTCTACATATTTTCTGTTTTATTTTTTTGAAATAAATAAATTCATTTTATTTTTAAAAAAGAAGGTAAAACAAAACATAACAAAACAGAACAGAAGAAAGCAGATCAGAAGAAAACAATGTAAGTAACAGGATTTCAAAACAAGACCACAGGAGATCAACAATGGCTACCATAATGCCTCTTATTTTCTTCTAAGTAATAGTCTATATCATCACACACAATGAGTTAGTACAAAACAAAATAGTATAAAACTGGTCAAAATAAGATAATGAAAGCATTAGAAGCATTCAAAACCAGACAATAGGAAAATCAATGATGGCTATTGTAATGTTTCTTGTTCTCTTCAAAATAGCTGTTCAAATCTTCATATTTGTTGAAATTTTAAAAATTCAGTTTAAACTCTCTTTTTTGGTCTTTTTTTTTTTTTTAAAAGAAAGAACTAACATTCCATTCTGGAAATTATTTTAATGATTTTTAAATCTTAGTTTAAGTAGTTGTCAGATGCCTCCATTTCATTCTCTGGAGAACCCTAATTAATATTAATCACATATTAATTAATATGTCATGTTATTGTAATGACATAAATGTCTTCTTCTTCTTTCTTCAGTCTGATTTGGATAACTGCAAACTCATTTTATGTGGGGAGTGGCTGAGCCAGGGCTGAGCTTAAGGTAGGCAAACTCCTTGGAAGTACAGCAAGGCTGGTCCAGTAGGTGTCTGCCCTTTGTGTTCTTCCCTATTAACCATAGCACAGATAGCTCTGAGAATGTTTCACTTCCAGCGTCCTCAGCAAAACACTGAGACCTTGCACTTTGGGCCTCACTGGGTACTGCTTTTTTTGACTGTGTATAAATAAAACACTGAATGTGCTGGGTTGTCACTGCCTCTCCGTCAGAGAGGTCAGGTCCCATACAGTTCCAGCATCCTTTTAGTGTGTGCTTAGTGCTTAGTGCTTAGTGCTTTAGTGTGTGCTTAGTGTTTTTCTTACTCTCACATCACCCTCACTCGGGACCTGGCTGGTTGCGCAGGTCATGACAATTTATTCAAGGAAATAGATAAAACTGGAATATCATGTTAAGCAAAATAAAGCAGACATGGAAAGGCAAGTATTACACATTTTCTATCAAGTGTGGAAACCAAACCAAAAACAACAATAAAAAGGTACCAGAAAGGAGGAGGAACTTTAGGGTTTTGGAACAGCCTGGATAAGAAGAGCAAAAGTGAACATGATTAAAGTGCAATACATTCCATGTGTGGTGAAATATGCACGGAACCCTGACATTCAGGAGGCTGAGGCAGGAGTACTGCTGTCAGTTTGAGGCCACTCTGAACTGCATAGTGAGTTCGTAGGCAGCCTGGACTACTGTGTGAGACTCTCAAAAAGTAAATAAATAATTTTTTTAAAAAGCACAATTTATACAGTGAAATCCATTAACTATTCATTACAATAGTTTTATAATAACAAAAAGAAAAAGTAGGCTCTAGAAGAAAAGATTAGCAAATGCGAAGACATAGAAATGAAAAGAGTATTTAAAAGAATATGAAAAGAACACCACTGAGGTAGGGGACAACTTTAATGGTGTAATACATGTGTAACTAGAGTCTCTGAAAAGGGAAGTGGAAAATGGAAAAATTTTTTGAAGAACTCATACTTCCAAATTTATAAGCTTGATGAAAACTATTTTCAAAGACCATAATATGCTACCCTAAAATATGTCTTTTTATGACAAAAGGGACATATTTGCAGATGATTATTTTTGAAAAATAGTAAACAGAAGTTTTGAAAACAAAATAGGTGTGATAAAAGTTACATTTATAAAGGAAGTCTCTCTTAGTAATGATGTCTTTCTTCCAGAACCAGGAAATGAACAATGATTAAATCACAAAAGATTTTTGTCAGTGGACAAAGCACTGGCTAAAATCTTTATGACAAAC